AAATATAACCTATGCTATAGAAAACATGTTACGCTCTTTCCCCCTAGATCAAAAAAAACCCACCTGATCTGCACTGGTGCTGGGGGCTGAAATGGGCTTCGTACCTGTAATCCAGAGATTGCAGCAGGATATGGTGAAAGTGCAGTGGATCCTAAATTTCTGCCAAGGAGAGGAGTCATGGGGGTGCTACTGGTGGTGTGGGTAGCACGCCAGTATGCCTCGAGGTACTCTGCCAAGTGTTCACAAGCATCTTCCAGCTGATTTTCATCCAAAATTACATCAAACATTTCCTGGTCGCAATAACAAAGTTTGGTTCGTTACGGTGTTACAGGTGAAAAGAAAGAGTTGTTCAACAATTCCCATCATGCTAATCCTCCAAACATCCAATAAATAACAATCAAGAGCACGGCATTGCAAAAGAAAATGATACAAGGGGGTTGATAAAGCCCAGGCTCTCAGGAGAGAGGCTCTCTCCCTTTCAGAGAGGCTCAGCAGATGCTGCGGGAGCCCTTGCACGCTCACAGGCACAAGCCTCCTTCCATGAATTGCTTGTGCTCTGAGAGGGGATCTGAAGGCAGCTGTCACACAGAGCTGCTCTGCCTTGCTTTGGGACCTGAGGACTCGCCCACACTTCTCTCACCCTGCCTGGGACCACAGTCCCAGCCTCACCTCTCTGCTCTCAGATCTGCACCACCACGCAGGTACAACCTTCCCCCTCTCTGAGCTGCTTACAGATCCTGACCATTCAGTCCTGGTGCTGACCTCAAACCTGCTCCCTGGTCAGCCCCCAGAGGAGCTGTTTTCTGGTGGAGATGGAAGCAATTCCAAGCCCTGCAGCTTCCTGACCCAGAAGTCACAGGGACCCTCTGCAGACAAGGGTTTTAAGATTGTCAGCACGACAAGGGCTGACAACAACCAGCTGATCATAAACCATCCTAAGCTGAGTCCCTCAAGAGAAACATAAACATCTTTGCAGCAGTGAAATTTTGGGCTTCATCTTTAATCTTAACCCCTGCCCCAGCAGAACAAACCTATGGTGAAAATAGCACAGGAAATGAAGAGCAAGTGCAGGTGGTGCAGGTGTTAAGAGCAAGTGATCCAAGCCACAGGCTGCTTTACCCCCCTGCATTCTCAGAGATCTGTCCAGGGCACACGGAGCTGACATGGCTAGAACAAGACACAGCACTGCAAGATGAATTCATCATAAATCTTGACCATGCATCTTCCTTCTGCCCCAAAGTCTGGCTTAGAACTTACTTCAACAGGAAAGACATTTTAATTCTTTTTAGATTTACTCTTTCTTGTCAGCATGGTAGAAAGATGTTTATTTCTCTGAGAGCAATTATGGACTCTTCTTCTAGTAAGAATACTCCTAGCACTCCATCCTTGGCTGAAGTCAGTGTTTATTGCTGCTTGTTTTGCTCCTCTTCTTATCCATACCCCTCACACCCTTTGCTGTTTAAACACACTAATTAAGCAACTCCATATTCCATTGTATCACTCACATCAACATTTGTGGAAGAAGTTATTAATTCATTACATTAGGAAATGAGAGGATGTGTTTTGCCTACGTACACTTGGGGGAAATACTGAAATTAAAGTATTACACTTGAAAAAGAACGTGTTCTCTTCAAATACAGGATGAATATGGTCATTTTCTGGTCTGAGACTAGAAAGCAGCTTTCCTGTGCTGCTCACTTCTTGCACAGCTGGCTCTGACCCCAGGGCAGCTCTGGCTGTGCACACACCCCTCAGCTTTGCACACCCATTGTGCCCAGGTGCATCTCCAGCCGAGCGGGGCTCCCGCAGCAAGCAGGTCAGGGAGCACATCCAACAGCCTCCAACCCCTTCCTGCTCAACTAGGGAACTGCTCCTCAAGTCTCTTAAGCTGGACCAGCTGATTCAGGGAGCTCACAAAGTGCTGTGTGGGTGTCACTAAGCGTGCTGCAAGGTGGAGGTGACACAGAGAGATTCCTTTCCCAGCAGAGGGACAGTGTCGGGCGCTGCTAATAAACCTCCACCTGATGCTCCAGCTAACACACCTGAACCACCCTGTTCTGGACAGGACGTAGCTTCATGGGGTATTCTGACAGTGATCTTAATTAAACTGACTTCAGGGAGGAAGAACTTGGAACAGTTGCAGTAGAACTGTCACCTTTTTAACAGTTAACTGCAAATCACCACCGGGACAGGTCCTGGGCTGCCATTTGAAGGTCACCTGGAAAAGCTGCACAACTGGCAGGATCCTGATTCCAGGGCTCTGCAGTGTTTTGCAGGGAAGATAAATTACAGAGAAAGCATTTTGTTGCATTTAACAGTTCTGCTCGTTGCTGAACTGTGTTTGTTCTATTTCTAATGATTTGGGAGGAAGGAATCTTGTAAGGAGATCCTTGTGTGCAGTGGTCATGATGTAAAACAATTTCTGCCCAGTTCTCCTTACAATGCATTTTATTCACTACAGTATCTTCTTACCACATGTATAAACCAGTTCTCATATGAGCCTTTCCATATACTAGTACTTCTGAAGTGAGAGACATGAAAGCAGTGGTCTTTCCTGAGGAGAAGATAAAATTAGTTGCCACCACCCTCTGCTATTTCATAGAATCCCAGACTGGTTTGGGTTGGAAGGCACCTTAAAGATCATCCAGTCCCACCCCCTGCATGGGCAGGGACACCTCC